TGTCTTTGATCCGGTCCAGAGCATAGTGCATTTCACACAGTGGCAGTCTATTTAGCTGGAACTGAAGCTCCACCTGAGGCAAAGAACAAAAATATATTATATGTTCAGTCTCTAAAGCTATTTTTAAGAAGTGTGTTGCCTTTCATCATGGTTTTAACATAATTGTTATAGAGAAGCAATAAATCAAGAACATGATAAAATCTCTTAGATCAGTGAGTAAACCCTGACAAATCACCATGTCAGGTTCTTTGTGAACCACCAAAAGTAAAAGAGAAGTCAATAACTCTCAAATATCTCCATATGTACAAAGAAGCCAGTCCAAGAGTAAAACACTACAAATGCACCAATGTAAAATCAGTCAAAGATGAAAAAAAAAAAAAATCTTAGGATAAAAGTGAAATGGCAGGAGGATCACATGCAGCAGAATAAGAAGATTAACTCCCTCCATGGCCTGGTGAGTTTTGATAACGTTAACACTGCATTTTTCTTTAGCCGACACTCCAGTACAGGGGGGCATCAGTCATTAACTGCCTGGAGATTTCATAGAACTAAATCCATAAAGATTGTGCCGAGGCCAATAAACACATATGTCTACCATTAATCATGAAATATTAAAAATTTTTTAGATGGTGATCTCTAGTCCTAGTTAATACACACCTGTATTTCCCTGTCTGGTAGCAGCCCTAGCTCTTCACAGCAGTCCTTGCAGATCCTAAGAAAGATGTAATCCTTGGTCTTCTCCTCAATCACAGCCTCATAGACACGCTCCTTGACCCCAGGCGGTGGTTGGCAGCTAGCACCCTCACGGCCCAATGGCAAAACAAGAACTGAATTCACCTTGGTCATTACTAACCGTCCCGCTAATGTGTCCTGTTTAAACAGAAAGCAATGTATTAAAAGTGTTGTAAAAGTTTTGATATGTATATAGAGTGTATTGTGTATATAATGGAGTACCTCAGACAATGTTTCTGTAAGTTTGAAACGTGCAAAAAGTTGTCCATTTTGGGCATACTTTGCTCCAACTGAAATGCCTGTGAGCATAAAGCTTGTGACGAGCTGGAGGTTGACTTTAATGTTGAATCTGCATGAACAAATATTGGAATATCAGTTTAGCATAGTAATGTTTTATGCAAGAAAATACTTTAAATTAATCTTTTATACTGAACTATAACTGTCATAATGTAACTATTGTCAAAGCATTGACAGTAGGAGACAAATGAATGGGAATCCTGACACCTAGTGGTAGATTAATGCCTTTAAACAAAAATCTACTGTTGCTTATTAGTATAAAACATATATTGAAAACAAACTCCACGTGGAAGTGAACGTATACTCACTTGCTAACTTCTTTGTATTGTGCAATCTCCTCTATATAGAGCAGGTCATGAAGTCGGGCTTGGTAGTTGTCTTTGGTGAGAGTTTTATCCAATACAGACTGGGTGAAGAGCTGGTCAGCTGACAGGGGGATCTGGTAACGCGACAGGAGGCTGCGCTCCATATCCGCCATCGTCTCATTGGGCGTGAACTCAACAATGGTCTTACATGAAGAATCCCATCGTTTTGCAGTCATTAGAAGCTGCTGTCTTGCAGCCATAAGATGTTCAAGATCTTATGAATAAAAATACATTTATTAAAAAATATATAATATCAAGAGTTAAATATCAGTTTATCAGATTAAGTTTGTAACTGTAAATGATATATTTTTACCTTCAATTGATGCTGCATCCACCATTATTCTCTGCATAAGGACAGGTTCTGACCCGAAGTCAAAGACTACTGTCTGTCGAAAGGTACCAAAGATCTCTGTGGTAAAACCAACTGCTACCTTGTAGACACAGTGGTCAAGGCCATTGTCTGTGAAACACATAGATGTTATAAAATAGACTTTCGATTATAGTGAGAGTGCGCATCTTTATGAGCAGAAAACACACCAGATGCATCTTCTCCCGGAGTCCACTCCTGGCACCCTGGGGCAACTGACTGAAGCTGTTCCCCTGCTGAAACTCCAGTGATGGAGAAGTGTGGTCGGTGTGCATCATAGAGCAAGGCGATCCGGTGCAACTTTCTAGCGGGCTAATCAAACACATAAGTAATTAACTTAAAATTACACACAATATCTTCATCCACCATATAATTGTAATAATAAATAAATACAATTTCCATAATGTAAATAAAAAGTACCTTGCACAACAAAGAGAAGGTCCAGGAGTGGGAGGATTTTTTGGTGGTGACAGTAACAGAGAGGTTGGAGCTGGTTTGTACATTCACTCCTTCTAGGCTGTCAGTCAGCTAAGAAGAGAACAACATGATATTGAGAATGTATAAAAAGTTACCAAGAAGACTTTTTTTTGTTCAGATGAAATGTATTTCCTTCCAGGCCTGAGCTTCACACACTTACCACTTTTTCAGGAGAGAGTGAGTTCATCCACTTTTCAATCAGAGTTTCCATGTAGTTCTCTGTGAAGTGCTTGCTCTCCTGTTGCTGTTTGAGGCGGATGAGACGTGAGGCGTAGCGCTTCTGCCACTCCATCAGTTCCTCCTGAGAGTGGGCCGATGTGCACTGAGCTCCATACCTGCACAGACCCTGCTCCAAGTACCTGCACCACAGTAAAAAATACAACTTATGTTTAACCAATAGAGGTAACATTTACTTTGCATTTTTAAATGGTTACAAAGCCAACAGTGATTTGAGATTGTTCTCTTACCTTTTACAGAGGGTGTACTCCTCACTGCTGGTGACTCCTCTAGGTGGAGGGCGGAACTGCCAGCCATCTTGGAGCTCTGTTATTACACAGCCAAGAGGTCAGCTCCACATTTCTTAATATTGATTGTTTAGTTTTTTTTAGATTTAGCACCACTTACCTTCATCTTGGTCTTCAGAGTATTCTGGCGCCATCTGTGTATTTACAGCCTTAAAAAAAATACAAAAATTAAACAAGTTCAGCTGGAATCTAATGGTGCAGGTGTGCACACAATTTGATTAAGGCAAAATGCACTTACATCTACTTCTGAGAAGAGCATTTTTAACCTAGTTAGGTCTCTAGAAACTATTCCATTCTGTAAATATAAAAACATGCTTTGAGTATTTGAAGATGAAAACAATATTGTATAAACAATTATTATTATTAATATACTACACATTATCCGCCTTTAGTATAATATTGCACTGTGCTGTATTTTAACTGTGGCCCCATTCATAATTTTATGAAAAGAAAGTAAGTCATACCAGTGCTTCTCCATACAAGGCTTTTGAGAGGATGCTGGCCACCTCCTGCAGGCTGCCATCCAACAGCATGGCACGCAAGCTGGCCTGAAGCGAACCATCTCCCCTGGACACATCTTCCGCCAGGACTGGAATTAACCATGTAACATGCAATACTCAACTCATTCATCTAAGTTATCTGTATTTTCATCATGTAAACAAGCAGATTCTAAAAAGCTTGTTTCCTTGATGGTCACTTACCGTGTTTGCAATCTTCATCAGCTTCTTCATATTTTTTCTGTTGTGAGATGAGAATTGCACACAAATATTAGTCTGTCAGATACAGTTATTGTGTGAAAAACCTCAAAACAAAAAAGCTAATCTTTTCTGAGGGTATGCTATTTTGGCGATTTGTCAGTGCTTATTTTTGATTATTAATTTATTCTTGCTTTAACCAGAAAATTCCCACTGATATTCAGAATCCAATAGGGAACCCTATTGTACATGGTTTAGTACTACGGGAACCTAAGCACCCAGAGGAAACCTATGCAGGCACGGGAAACATAATCAAACAAACAAACTTCACGCATAAAGATCCAGCGCCTCCCAGGAGTCAAACCCAGGACCTTATGGCTCTGAGGCTGATCTGACAACTGTTGCACCACCATGGTGCCCAACCATAGACACTTTTCCCCTATTGGTCAGCCTCTATATAATAATAAAAACCTAAATATTTTATTGGCAAAGTTGGACACCACTAAGGAAATACATGAATTTATTTATCAATAAACCAAAAAGCTGCAACATTATGTTGGTTGTAAATGCTATACAAAATGTAAAAAGAGCATGCTCACTAGCTGTAGCGAGGCAGCGATGCGGTACAGCAGGGCACGGCTGCGGAGGGGAGTGCTGAGGGCTGGAGGACTGGGGCTCACTGGGGCTCCGGGTGGTGAGGTTTGGGGCGCGAGGGCCACCAGAGCAGCTGAGCTGTGGCTCACAGCCGCCTCGTACTCCCGCCGGGCTAACGATCTACTGGCTTCTTCACATGACTTCTCCGCTCTCCTGTCCGCCATGACTTAGGGACAAACCACCTGCAGGACACCAAAACATATGATCAGCAGGAATGAAACAAAAGAAAAACATATACAGCTTTGCTTAAATACATAAATTCCGTCTTTACAAGTTGTATTAACAATCAGTGGTTAAGTAGAAGTATCTACTATCAAGGCATTTTTCACCATCCACACAAACAAATACTACTTCTCTGTGTAATAGTTTATTCTAAATACTCCTTTAGACAGAAAATGACAGATTCAGCAGACATTTCAAGCTAAGAATGGCTTTGTTAATGTTTACACTTATAATTTGTGTTAATTGACCACACCATCTCTCTTAATGCAGTTCATTTGAATAGATCTTCGTTATCTGCAGAGATGTTGTTGATAGTGAGGACGTGAGAGGAAAGTCAGAAGGTGTGGTCTATCCTCTATGTCTTCCACTGCTGCACTGATGATACTCAATTTGAAGTCAGCAATCTCTTTCAACTCCTTAACTGGTCATAACTTCACAAGTCACCCCTCCTCCTCACTATGCAACCTATGCTTCATTCATTATACACACCTGCCCTTATATAGCACACACCCTCAGCATCTATGCAGCAGCACCCAATACAAACTCCTCATCACCAAGAAAGTCCTCCTTAAATTGTTTAACTAATCAGTCATTTATTCATTTACAGTGACAGTAGAAACTTCATTCTGTTATAAGTAGAACAGACTGCCTTTCTATAGATCCGACTGATAACTTGGCAAGGTGTAATCATCTTGATGGAGACAACGAGATGATGACACCTGACCAGGTAATGCGATACCATCTATATGGAGACAAGTGGAGAGGATCACCCCTTCACCAGAAAAGTTTAACAGTGCAAATTTTTGATGTTGGATATCTTGCAGTCCCGTGTATATTGTTCCTGTTCTGAAAATTGCCAGAATACAGCAGAGTTGTCAAAAGTATCAGATACTAATTTATACTTAACTAGTATTGAAACTAGATAATCATTTGAACAAGTCTCAATATTTAAAAAGTCACAATCACAGGACAATAATTAACCATTCCTGCATCATTATAATGATCATGAGCTGTATCAGAACAAGACCACATAGACCACTATATAACATTTCTGACTGATTGAGGAATTACACAGATATTAAGCCACATGGTAATACAAAATAAAGTACTATGATTTAATTTTGAGAATCACATTCTATTGTCTAAAGAATGTGTGTTTTTATTATTATTGTGGTATTGGCATTGGTATTAAGTATCAAGTCTGTTGCTTAGTATAGAAATTGTGTTTGAAATTTTAATACTTTGACATTAGAAAACAGGAAGGGAATAGGGATATTTTATAATTGAGGACCCCCTTGAAAATGAGATGGTGACACATCTCAAGGGGCTTATCCTCCAAACAAATAAATTCAAATTCAAATAGTTTAGCCTTTGCAATGAAGAAGAGATTGAAAAAAGTCCCAAAGAGTAATGTCAATCCATCATGTTCTAACAAAAAGTGGTGTATAACTATAATTAAAATAAATATCATTATGCAATAGTTTTAGCTTGACAGTCAGAATTCAGCAGTGATTAGAAGAAGCATCATGTTCTTACTGACACAAAGCAGAACAGTTTAAGATGCAGAGTACAGTGTGACCTGCTCCAGAAACCATCAGCCACAAATGTGCAACCTTGACTAGTAAACTAGTGATGTTTGTAACCATGGTTTTGCCATGAACACAAGAACTGTGTGCATGAAGACAGAAATAGAAACATTGTTATAGCATATAATATACTCTAAAATTTTTTCAAAACACATGCTTAAAATGTTTTCTGACTTTGTGTTTGCATGAGAATGTAAGTGTAAGGAAAGGAACAGTAATAACACAAATCTAAGTTATGTAACCTCTCGAAATGTTTTTTTTTAAATATACATTCTATAGTTGTTTAATACATTAGTTACATATTTTGTATAGCCTGTCAAAACAAATCCAGGGCTCACTGGATAGGGCTCTTTAAAAAGACAAAAAGGGGCATTTGACTTTCACAACCAGGTTGAACAATAATTATACATCAATCCTGTTTCATTTTAATGCAATTAAAGAGCAGTTTCTATGTCAGTTGACAAATCCAAGGAGGCATTTTACACCTCTATTTATAATCCTAAACTCCCAGTACATTGAACTGACTGAAGTTTGGCGGGACAGACTGTTTGCAAAGGCAGGGTTTAAGCACATTCGCATTTGTGATGGTAAACATTTAAGAAGAAATTTCATGACCCCCATCAGATAATGGAGAACTGCAGACGCATTTACCATATCTAGTATTAAAGTTTGATCCTAAAGACACATAACGCAAACAGCCACAACAAAACTGTTGATGATCTCTTTGGTTTCAGGACGAACAAGTTAGTGTTTGGGATGGAAACTTATGAGTACGACTGTGGGTCAGTGCAGTGACGGGTGCCTTGTGAAATGCAGAAATACAACGGATCTTAACGTTGACATTATGTTCGAATAGATTTGTTTGTCAGTGAAAGAAATGCACAGCTATTAGTTAGCCGTCTGGCAAAATATGGCTTTTAATAGCACCAAAGACACAGGCTCACGGTAAGAATAACGCTAGCTGGCTGGTTTGTTAATGTTAGCGAGCTAGCTAGTAGCATAGCTCATCGAAACAAAACGGGATTTGGGCCCAAGATGTTGGCTCGGTGTTTGTGCGCATATAACTGTTGTGTCATTACACTGACATCTCTGCACAAACCAAATGCATTTGTAATCATCTTGATTGTTTACACAGACAGTCAGCTTCATTAGCGATGCACTGAAAAAGACAACTGCTGGGACTGAAAATGGGAAGTCAACACTTACCTAGCTTTACTTTCTACGCCATCTTGGATCCACTTGTCAGACCCATCGCAAAGCATAGTGGGATGTAGTGCTCTGAAGGTTGTTGAGAGTACAATGTGCTGCTCTGTGCCTAACATCGTTATAATTAAATGCCACTTATTGTTCTCAATTAGGTTTTAAATAAATCCAGGACAAACATAAATTCCATGATTTTCAATTAGACTATGACGATGTTCTTACTAATTAAACATTACGGTTAATTAAATACAGCTATAGTGGAGAATGGAACATTAAACCACTGTTAATTTAGTGCTGCCCAGAAAAAATAACTGGTACTGTCAATGGTGTGCGTGTGCTACCTCATCCAGAGTTAATGAATAAAAGGAAATGATTGCTATGTTTAATGAAGTTCTATATTTATTACAGTAAATGCAATATAACATTAGTACAACAAAGTCAAACAGGCATGAAGAGCATTACAAAATGAAAAGGTACTGTTTATTTTCATTTTAACAGACAGTACAAAAGAGACATGGTGTTGATATAATCTCCACCGGTGTGTATTCTGTGAACATTTTTATAGAAGGAGAAAAAGAATACAAAACAATGCACGGTAGTTTTTACTGAAGATTGTGAATCATCTCCTCCTTGGCAATCAAATGTGTAGTCTTGTTGACCAGTGACATAAGGGAGTTGAGTTTATGGGACCAGTCATTAAGTAGATCATTAGGATCTTTGGGTCTCTGAAAGTTAATGATGCCAGCCAGACGGTCTACTTTGGCATAAATTGTCTTGTTTACAACAAGGTTGGACAAGAACTCTTCAGACTCCTGTGAATGCAAAGAAGAAATACAAGTTATGAGTGAAATAAAACATATTGAATAACCCTTTTAATGTGTGTGGTAGTACATACATCTATTGAGAGGTCGAGCAGTCCTGCCATTCTTTTCATTGTGATTCTGGTGTAGTATTTAGCCATTATTCTGATATTCTGCAAAAATATAGTTCATTAATTCACCTTTTCTTATTTCAAAGATGCAAATAAACTGGACTGATGTGTAAGACTTACATGCTCAACAACTCTGTTCTTGAGGTCCTTCCACCTCTTCTCTCCCTCCTCTGTATAAGAGAAAACATCTGTGGCAGGACTGTCAGGAGAGCCCTCTCTCAACTCTTTACCATAATCCTCCACAAGACAAGCCCAGCGCATCAGCTCCATCGTGGTGAACTGCTTCAGAAGGTCCCTGGGGGAAAAGGGGAAAATATTTAGAGGTTCATCTGTGTGTAAACATGGCCCATTAAACCTAACAGTATGACATACACTACACTTCTATAATAGTGTTGGCAGCTATAAGAACAAAAACATACTTGTATTTGGGAATTTCTTCAAGTTTCTTGTCAGTACTGATTCTATGCACCAAATCAGACTGTTCATTGTCATATGGAGAGAGAATCACATACAACACCACACTTTTCAGGGCCTAAAACAAAGTGATGAAGATGTATGAGTTAAGAAAACACAAGAGCAACCACCTTTCATTAATAAAATAAAAAAAGCTAATGGTATACCTGCTGCCACTTGCTACTGTCCTCCAAAATGCAAGGGGTGTCATAGATTGCACGATAATGTTTACAGATGGCCAGGTATGAGCCCTCATGTTGATCAACTTGAATCATCAGGTTGTAATACTTCAGTTTCAGCTCCTGGATTGATTTAACAGATCACAAAATAGATAGGCTGATCTGTGACAAGAAAAAAAGCAGGTTGGCTTACCTCTGTCCCTTCTTCTTGGAAAAACTTTGTGTTTATTTTTTTGCTTATGATTTGTGTCCGTATGTAATCTTTCACAGCAATACAAAGTCTCATTTGTTCCAAGATGAACTCAACTTTTTCTTTCTTCTCCATTGACCCATAGGTCTCAACCTAAAGAAAAAGAAAACATATATGGCTTCTTAAATAAGTAAAATAAGGCACATTTTGACTGGTTTTGGTCCCTAGACAAGTTCATCTTGGAGTCTTGTTGCTAAGGTGCACTTGCTTTGTTTTGCCAAGAATGACAACAATGTAAAGTATTTAGTGAGAAATTATTGTTCTCACAAACACTTTTAGACTTCCAGATCTGCTCCAAAGCTATGGAAACAGGGCTATAGGTTCAAAGTTCACATCTGTTTGTATAATGATGCATGTTTAAAATTAGGTATACTTTGTCCAGATGTTCGTACCTGTAATTCCTGAAGAATAGAAGCTGCCTCTTTGACATCTCCACTCTGCTCCTTGATGCCGGCTAAGGTCTTGGTCAATCTGGCACGCTCAATCTCTACATAAATCTATTTGTGAAAGCACAGAAATTTGGCGGTATGAGTCAAGATCAGACTAAAACAAGGAACCCTGCATCAAATGCTCAAGTTAAGATGTGCCAAACCTTTCCAGCTGTTACAGTGCGTAGCGTGTCAATAAGCCTAAGCTTGATGGTAAGATCAGAGATGGTATCCACATACTTGTAACACTCTTGGACCATCTTGGCAACAGCCTAAGTTTTCACAGAAAGTGATTAGTTAAAATACATTAATTCGTTAGTTCATAGTTTGACCAACAAACTCTCTACCTGTTTGAGCTGGCTTCTCCTTTTTGACAACAACATAATGTTCTCATTCAGGGCATCCCAGTCCTTGGCTTCATAGCACATTTGGACCACAGCAACAAGAATTCTAGAGGTGGACACCATGTCTGAAGCCTGAAAAAAGTTTAGGTTTAAAAGAATGACATTATTGGCTTTAACTGGATGAACAGAGTAAGACAGCACAAATAAAGTCTATAATGTCACTGTTACCAAATGTTAATAGATGATACTACTACTCACCGTTCGTGTTTGTTTCTCCAATGACAGCAAACTTTCGACAGCTTCTTGTAATTTCCCATCCTAAAGCATAAAGACATGATTATGACTATTTATGTAGGACTGCTGCACAGTGTGGACTGTACTGACTGGGCTAAATGCTTGTAGCATTAGCATTGCCATAATTGAAAAGGACAAGCTTATGGACGTAAACCGTAAGAGAAATGTAAGACTGCCATTAAACTAACGACTAACGTGTGATTTATTAGATGAATAATAAAAAGTAGTAAACCAAAATAAACTCCGATAAAAGAATACAAGGTTTATGCTCCTGCGGGTGCTAACACTCCAATGCAGCACCATGACTCAGCCGGGAGCACATCTCCTCTCGGCGCTTACTTTGGCCATTTTCTCGCATTCAGGCAGCCGCTGGTCCACAGTAGAACTGTAATCAATTTCCATCTTCACAATCCGTCCATCGGATCGTTCAGATCGTTCTTCAGACATGTTTGATCTCTTTTCGCGGTGATTAGCCGTCCGTTTCTCTTGAAAGCTTAGCACAGCTCCTTCGTACTATTTTGCTTGTCAACGAATGGAGGAGGAAGAGACCAATCAGAGAGGAGAGCGGGACGTGTGTCCGACGCGCCTGAAAGACCCAAGAAAAGACCCCAAAGACCCCAAAAGCAAGCGTAACGATTAAGTCATATTTATCAACTTTATGTTAAAGCCACCTAATTACACCTCAATTAAATTTTTTTGGGGGGACACCACCTAAGTTAGTTTGCAAGTTGCAAATATATATTTCTGCCTGTAGAGGGAGACACATGCTTATCTTTCGAAGTATGACTAAAAGGCTACATTACATCACAAACGACACTTTTTTTTTCTTGAAACATTGCTTGGAGGGACAGTCCTGGCCCATGTTTGCCCTGTTAGTGTATGCATTTTTAAATAGGTTGATCGGTAACTATGGTCCTAATTTTCAAAAGTCGTGATCACATGAGATGATGGTGTACCCTATCTTCTGCCAGAAAGGCTCTGATTTAAATTTCTTGTCCACATACAGCTCCTCAGCCCTTTAACAAACTGCATCACACCCATAAATGAAAATATAATGGGTCAGTGGTTTTCCTGCTGAGAAAGCCCCTAAACTCTCAGTTAAAGTAAGACTGATCTACATAACAACTCACTGCACAGGTTTAGTGTGGACCTGTAAGCCAATATGTACACTCCAGTCATTTCCCAGATGCAAATATAACAAATTCATAATTGAAAAAGGTGGGTATAACAGCCTAGTCATTTGAAAATGCAAATAAGATATAATGCTTATTATAACCAAGCAATTAGGCCACTATCTACGGTTTAAGAGAAAGTATCTGCTCACTGTCTTGATGGTATCATATGTTTATCTTGATACTTGCATGGTTTATTTTGGTGGTCCCTTTGCAAACATTTTCTCTAAGACTTTATTTACATTCATTCATACTAGTCAACAAATCAAATCTATGCAAAAATATAGATTTTTGTATGAGGAATTATTTTATTTGAAACAATGAATGTGGGGTGCACTGAGCATGTCTGCTCTGCTGCTAGAAAGACTTAGGTACTTGCAAACATTTTTAAGTTTGAGACGTATTATGCATAGGGCAGGTCTATAATGCAAATCAGAGGTAATCAAAATTAATACATGTTTAAGACAACGGAAAACACTGAAGTAGCAAAGTGAGATCCTAACAAGTTCTTTGAGGCAGAGTTGAGCTTTCATAGAAGATAGAAGAAGTGTTTGTTTGCATTATAATTTCTTGCTTGGCTTGAACTCAAGACATCTTGATGTCAGGTTTGTGGTTCCCAAATCATACCGCGTTATAAGATCAGACCTAAGTTACAATTTCTACCTGGATTGTGTGATTTGGGCCTATCCAGAAGATGAGTAACATGACCATAACCTTGAGTTGACTGCATTGTCTGTCTGGTTTGGCCACTTCATGAATGCCAATTCTGATATTTCAGAATCAGGTTTAGGTTTTGTGTTGTGTGAGTACGAGGGAGGAATAACTGTGGTGAGAAAAACGATGTGTGTTTCCTCCATCAAACTTGTTCACTGTGTCGCACGTAGAGGGAGGGTGGTGCAGCCCCTTGGTGCAGCACAGTCTAGGATTTGGAGAGAAAAAAAACACGTTATTTCATCTGCTTCAAGTGGAAGAAGAAATGAAAAATTAAAACATAACAATATTTGAAGCAGCAACTTCAACGAGGATTTTCATTCAAAAGGGGCC